ACCGCGCAGCAGCAGCCTTATCGGCCACTCGGCGCCAGCCAGGGCGCGTACAACCCCACCAACTTCGGCGTGAGTGGTGGATCGAGCACGAGAAGCGTGCCCAAGTTCTGGAGCAGAGAGTCCCTCTTCGTGAAGCGAGAGGATTATGGCAAGACTAAGGCTCAGCGCGAGGCTGAGAAGGCCGCGGCAGAGAAGGTCGTGAAGGAGGAGGTGGTGGAGGAGGTGCAGGAGGATGTGGAGATGACTGACGAGGAGGCGTCCGAGGAGTGGGAGGAGAGTGAGGAGGAGGAGTGGGACGTCGAGGCGCTCAAATTGGCGGGCAACTCGGTGCAGGACGCAATCGAGTTGTGATTGCCGATTCTCTTCTTCTTCCTTTTTTTTTCTGTCTAGACAACCTGTTGAGAGGCGGACGTTGGCTCGCATGCCAACGTCCGAAGCTCCAGGTTCATTTGTTTGTAGCTAGGCCGTAGAGACGCGGGCGTTGGCGCGAGCCAACGCCCGTGGCTCCGGAGGCAGAGGAATGACACAAAAGTTTCCAAGTCAAACATAAGTTCAATTGCAATGTGAATGATATCATATCTATTTTCGTTGGTGCTACTCACGTGCAATATAGCTGAGAAATGGTTCAATGCGGTAACTTACGCCAGTTCTAAGAGTGCGTCGTCGAGTGTGATAGAAATAGGGGCAAGGCTCGGTCTATGTGTGCAAAGGATAAGTTGAGCTGCACTTATATATCGAATTAAAGCCCAACCTCTATGCACAGATCAGGATCTCGGTGAGTGTATTAAATCGAAGCAATACTCAATCGAAGTAGGCAGACGATATGTTAAGCCGCCGGTGTATATTGAATCAAAGCTCAACCTCCACGCACAGGGTAGGATCTCGGTGAGCGTATTATATCGAAGCAATACTTAATCTACATAGGCAGACAACATGTTAAGCCGCCGATGTATATCGAAGTACAGGTCGACTTCTATACACAGGCAAGGAGCTTGGTCAGTGTACTTGATTAATGTGTGCAGGCCGCAAGTAGAAACTCTACAAAGCATAGACGTGATCTTTCAAAGATGCTCTTACTACACGCCTCTATGCACCAGAGAACGTAGTGCTAAGTTTTAGAGATGGAGACATACTAGTAAGGCCTAAACCTTCTGTTTGATCCTACGCGCTAGCTGCATAGACCACCAAAAAGGTAACAATGTCTGAACATCTAATGTTCAGACGTTAAAGAGGCGTATATATATGACCCTAAAACCTTCTAACATCGGTCCCCCTTCACATCCTGAGCAGGATGCCATTGAGTTATGATTGCGGGTTCTTCCTTTCTTTGTTTTTTGTGCTGCAGACGTATACTCGGAAGAACAGAGAATGGAGCTTTCAACAGAACTTTCAAAGATGCTCTCATCGGCCTTGGAGAGTAAGAACTACTAGTTCTTAGACGTTACAGCTCGCCCGGCAAGACAAGTGATATACACTTGCAGAAACAAGGAACTGAGCGTTCAGAGATGCGCTCGCCGGTCTTGAAGAGTAAGAACTACTAATTCTTAGGTGTTACAGTTTGCCCGGCTGGTCATAGTGATATACGCTCGAAGGGATAAGAACTAAACCTTCAGAGATGCTCTCGGAAACCTAGAAGAGCAAGAGCTATTAGTTCTTAGAGGTTACAGTTTGCTTGACTGGCTCCAGCGATATACACTCGAAGGAGCGCAGAACAGACCTTCAAGAGATACTCTCATTCGCGTTGAAGAGCAGGATCCACTCGTTCTTGAGCGTTACAGCTTGCCCGTCAGCCAGCTACTTTGTCACTTTCGAGACATCCAAGAAGGAAAGACAAGTGTGGAGCCATACGGGAAGAGCAGCGGCCGCAGGTACGAGACGGCTAATAAGAGGCCGCGATACAGACTCCAAGGTCGTCCTCTTCCAGTGGATATAGCGTAGGGGGTTTCAAGCGGTGCACCACTGTTCAATGAAGTCCAGGGCGTATCTCATCAAGCATTCAAAGATGTTCTCGCTAGCATTGAAGAGGAAGCTCGTTTCTACTGCTCGCATTTCAGTCTTTGTGGGACTCCACTGTTTTGTCACCCTCGGCTGGAGAACACGGTATCGTAATCGTGCATATGGATAGAGCGCGAGACTAGGACTCGAGCGAGTATACGGGCGTATCGGAAAGCGAATTTGTGTATATACTGGTGCCTTGTAAGTGGAAGAAATGTAAGACATGATCATCTGGCCATCTAGATGGCGGGCTTATCTTGGAATATCGTAATCCACTGAGTGGCGGTCATCATTGCAGTGGGAATTAAAGCCTTGTACGGCCATGTCGCGAGAAATACAGCAAAACCGTCCAACCTGGACAGCGTTTTGCGGAATTCGGACAATGACGTCTTGGGCAAGGCGGGAAGGGGAAACTAGCAGTGAAGTCGAGTTAGCGATCCAGATGCGGCGCATATTGCGACGACTTGCAAGATGATCCCCGCAAGCAAAAGGAAATTTGTGGGCAGGAAAGCGGTGCAACGCGTGGCTCCAGCGCGGCAGTGCATGCACGTCTGATGGAGATGAGCGGGTTGTGCCATGGATGCGTATGGGTACCGCCAATCGGGTACAGGCGTACCCCTACCAGCCCTTGGCGCCGGTGCAAGGCTGCGGTCGTTGGCCACACGTGCGGGAGGCCTCGTTTTAGCCTCGCGCTGCCCCGTCGTCTCGTTCCATCCTTCGCTGCTGCCGTCTCCTTCACCACCCACCACGCTCCTTTGACCACACCACGCTTATCTTCTTCCTTCCCCTTCCTTTCTTTTCCCATAATACGACTTTTGCGATATTGCATTTCCCGCCTTTTCGAGGACGTCGAGGCATCCCCTACGCCGCCGCGCATCGTGATCCGAATGACAGCCTACTGACCGGCTGCGCGCGTGTCCTCATCTTCCACCCCTAATCGATTCGCTCCCTCGACATTTCACCCACGACCCGTGAAATACACTTCTCCCATCTTACCTTCTCGCCTTTCGACCCTACTCCTTACACTTCGATCTCCCTTCGGCCCAATTGACTTCCCCCGACCGCCACAATGCGGCGCTCCGTGGCAATCTTCCTGCTCATCAACGTCGCCATCGTCATCTACCTCGTCTCCTCCGTCTGGACCCTCCTCTCCCTCCTCGTCGTCGATGGCTCTGCCGACGCCATCTCTCGCGCGGAGCTGCCCGGCCCCGCGTCCTCTTCACCCACTGGCGACCGCAAAGAGTTGATCCCCCGCATCATCCACCAGACCTACGTCAACGAGTCCATCCCGCCGCATTGGGAGGAGGCGCGCCAGAGCTGCCTCGCACTGCACAAGGATTGGGAGTACAACCTGTGGACGGACAAGAAGGCGCGCGACTTCATTGCGCAGGAGTACCCATGGTTTCTAGAGACCTTTGATGGATACACGTACCCGATTCAGCGCGCCGATGCGATAAGGTATTTTGTCCTCGCACACTTTGGCGGCATTTACCTCGACCTGGACGATGGATGCAATAGGAGATTGGATCCGCTGCTGACGTACCCGGCGTGGTTGAGGAGGACGGTGCCGACGGGTATTAGCAACGATGCCATGGGCGCAGTGCCACACCACCCATTCTTCTTGAGAGTCATTGATGCGCTGCCGAGATACGATAAGCATTGGATGCTGCCGTACATCACCGTAATGGGGAGCACAGGACCGTTGTTCTTGAGCATCATTTGGAGACACTACAACGTTGATTTGGGCGCTGGTCTTGTGAGCCGGGTGAGTGATGGATTCAACAAAATAAGTGGAATGGGTTTTATTGGGGGCAGTACAGTTCCAAGGACGCGAGAAGAGCTTGAGATGGAGAGAGTGAGGGTGCTCATGCCGGACGAGTACGTCGGAAATAGCTGGAGCTTCTTCACACATCACTTGGGGAACAGTTGGCACCAGGGAGATGTGAAGATGATCCTTTGGGTAAGTTGCTCCACATTCTCTTAACTTTCTTGGCAAGAAATCATACTAATACACAGAAACCAGATGCGCGACCACTGGGTTTTCCTCCTCATCCTCGGCTTCTTCATCGCAGGCGTCGTCTTCTTCAGCGCCTGGAGCATTTACAAGCGCTTTCTGCGCTACCGCTCGACTGCCGGCGCACACGCCTTCAACTTTACGAAACGAATACCGTTTTTGAACGAGGCAGCTGCGGAGGGATACGAGCTTCTAAACCGGGGAAGACCACAGCGGGAGCATGAGGTCTAGACCTGTTGTTTGTCAATGCATTTTGTAGCGTGGCATGGGCACGGCGTTTTCTTGGTATCTTGTATAGAAAGTCCTTTCCATGGACCAGAAACCGGAAATGGGGCACAATCTGGGGTTCCTGGGCACCTTGTTCGTGCTGGAACCACCATTTCATTGTATCATACGGATATTGTGTTTAATTCTTCATTGGACGCTGGCAGTGGAAATACTGCCATAGGAGCGGATTTTGAACAACTCCATCTGTACTCTTCCTATGTTGATCGTGATGATCCCAACTTTAAAGGCAGTGGAACCTCACTACACGCCACAACTACTTGACTAGGCAATCAGACTCACTGTTTGCAGGCTCTCCAGTGCCTTTATTAGATAGCCTTAAAGAATTAAAGAAATCGAACATTAATGGCTGCCAGTTTTATTAATCTTGAATCTCAAAACTCACGTGACACATTCACTCCGCTCTCTCCACAGAACTTTTCATGGTAGCATTGAGGATATCTTCAAGTCTTGAGGAGAAAGAAGGGTTGTTGAATAATGATCACTTACAGTATTCTTCTCTCCCAACAAACAATTCAAAAATCCGAGAGAAAGCGGCGGATCCGCCGCTTCTGTCAGCCCTCCCGTCCCACCCTCAGGATCACCCACGACGCAGCCGAGAGACTCTGGAGGCACCAAAAAGAAAAGGGCAATCAAAGCAGCAATAGATCTTTCAAAAACAAATTCAAAAAGAAATCCTTTTCTGCAGGAAGGCCAAAAATAACAATGCAACCTCCGGGACTCGAACCCGGGACTCGAGCAAAGTCAGGGTGGGACTGGGAAGCCTGCAAACAGTGAGTCTGATTGCCCAGTCGATGAGGAGAATTACGCACTCGAATTTTACCCCTAAACTAAGATTGCGAGCACCAGTAGGGTCAGAAGGTATCATATATAAGCATAGGAAGCTAGAGGGTTGATTGTTGACCGGTACCGGAGGCCCCAGGCGGGGATGGCCCAAGGGATGGGGACGAGGCCTAGCGGGCCCGGAGAAGCTTTGATCTCACTTGTAACGACGACGAATGATTGATCTTCAGATGTTGGAGTGGCCCTCTATTCAAGCCTTAGCAGCTTTGAAGCTCGTGAAGGAATGTCGCTGGATGGCAGATTTCTCGACGACTTGAGATGATTAGCATCCGCTGCCCGTGTCCCTGGATATCTTCTCTCGGCGATGCCAGCACAGATTGCAAGAGAGAAGATCAAGGCCCACGTTCTGTCCTGAACGACCGAAAGAAAGTACAACGTCAAGAGCTATCAACGAGAATAGAAGAGTGCCGAAAGAGATGAAAGCAAACAGCGGCTGAACCGTATGGCTTCTCCTTAACTTAGCAGCCATCTCAAAGCCTGTATTCGACATGTTGTTCCTTATATCGGCTGGTGCTGAGATCCTATCCCCGCTTGCGGACACAAAGAAAGAGTTTGAGAGAGTGATCTTAATAACTGAGGAAATCCACAGATAGGAGATTCGGATTTTCAAAGCGCAAATGCCGCAAGGAAATGGACACGGCAGTCTGCATATCGGCATGGAAGCCCAATCCACACGCTGTTGACGGATAGTTGCAGATGAGTGGCGTCTTGATCGAATCGAAAAGGAACAACTTTGGAGACAACATGGAGAAAGAGAGTAGATTGCCATCACCGTCAAATTAGATCATATTCCGCGCTGTGACTCAGCTGCAGTCTTTGTTGATCGGAGAGTCGTCAACAAATCACGGCGTTGGAAGAAGTTGGGATACAGTGCCCAGAGCGGATAAAGCTGTGACTTCAACTTCAGGCAGACAAACACGATTCACTGCTGAAAGACACTCCATTCACGTTCAACGAACATGTACAACTCCCAAAACTATTCAGAAATAGGGCCACGATTATTCTCCAAGCCCCTTCTGATCTTGATCGCGATCCAATCCCGAACACCTTTAACGTAAGTTTCAGTACCGTGTTTGCACCACTGTCGGCTTAACGAGAAAGCGAACGATGGAATGGGCCAGTGGCCGTAAGTACCGTTCGTGCTGTGTGTTGAGGCACGCTCTTTTCACCGATTTGCCTTCGTCGACGGAGCTTGTACTATGCGTGGAGCGCGTAGTATATTGAAATTTCCAAATCGAAACACTCCCTTCCCGTAAGTGTGGAGGAAGTATTCGATTACGATAGGAGGTTATTTACTTCTTCCGCACCGACTTAGAGAAGCTTAAGAGCTTAACCTCTTTACCTTCTCTAAACCAGCTCATACCATGTTTACAGCCACGTTTCTCGTACGGCTTCATCTTCCTCAAGCCGGTCTATAGTACATTAGTACAAGGGTATTGCTAGCCTTTGCCTACTCGAATTTCATGTTTTCCCACAGATGTTCTTTCACTTCGTCCGTATTGTCAAACGTCTTGTGGCATACATGAATGCCCAACTCTTCCAATGGACAGAATATCCCCCCCTCATTAGTAACATCTAGGGGGTACTTCTTAAGCTCCCCTCTCGGCTAATAGTCACGCCTATCACACCAGGCTTCCCTCTATGTAGCTCTATCAGCAGTCGCTTATAAGATTACGTGGTCGATCTCATCGTAACCTGCGCAGCGACAATCATAACCTTGTCGCTGAAAATACCTCCCTGAGACAAGAACTCACAAATTCCATCTACCGAGAGAGGAAGACATCGATAGCACTGGCCGCAGTGGTTAGCCAGCTTACAACAATTCGTGACTCTTTTCAAATAGCAGAAGAAGCGAAGAGGCTTCCTCGAAGCCCGAATATATCTTTAACAGCTACGAAAGTACTTTATACAGAAGCTTTCTACGGCCCCGCGTAGATACTAAAATGTTTATGTAGCTACTAATGAAGAAGCATCCTTAAATATCATATACACGCTTAAAAGTTCGTAGAGCTATCGTAGAAGAGGCCTCTTTTAACATAGAATACACACTCTATAGAATATAGAGCCGTAGATAAGGGATATCCTTTTAACCCGTGTATCTACTCCGAAGTCCTTGTAATTTCCGTGAAAAAGCGTTCTTTCAATATCGTGACCCAGCAGACAGCGGGAAGATGTTCTGTCTACTAGAAGAACGTCGCATTTATAGACATAGTGAAATATCTAAGAACATAAATAGGAATAAAGGAATATTTCTAGGAGGATATGAAATTCGCACAGGAGAAGCAGAGCCGCCAGTGCCTTTTCTATGGTGTCCAGAATACGACATTTCAAAAGAGAGCATCCTACCTGTTGGCTGACATCATAGGCCAGGGTGACCGAATCGACATCCTTCTGAGTGCCATCTTTCAACTGTCGTCCTGCGTCTGTCCTTATGGGGGTAGAGGTCATCTTCGAACGCTTCTTTGGGGAAAAGTCCTCAGCTTCGTCGTTGTCCTTTGCCATGCTGTTTACGTGAGAGGTTGCACTTTTTCGTTTCGAGATCTTCCTGCAGTTAATGAATGACTTTCTAGGCAAGCCTGTCAGTAGCGGATATGCGATGGCGTCTGGAGCTTTCGGACTCTTAATAGTGATAAGCATTAGTGGGCTGATATCGGCACATCTGATATCTTGAATTTTAGTAAAAGATGAATGGACGGGGTCGAGCTTGGTCTACTTTATGCCTCCGCGCTCCAAAGCACAGTCTGTCTAGCATAAGAGAGGCTCTATCCTTCCTGTTTATTTGTTTCACAAACAAACTGGAGAATATCTAGAAGAGCACGCCTACAGACTTGATGAGAGCCAGATGGAAGAAGTCGCCGAACGCCTAAGTGCATAAGAGACTTGAGTAAATTTCTCACCATCAGATATCAGATATCAGATTTATCTAAAAGGGCAATGATGATGTTTGTGAGGCCGAGCTCTGCTGTCCGTCCGTCAATTGCGACTTCAAGGCTACAGGCCCTTGTAACCCCCACCACCGCTAGCAATGCCCTTGTAACCAGACGCTCGGTACACACAAAAGCCTCCTAAACTTCAGTCTGCACCTCCTCACTAATTGACAGCCACCTCTTTCTCATCAATCTTGACGCCATCCAACTTGTGTGTTTCTGTGCGTAAAAGTGGCAATGACACCTACCTTGCTGTCAACGCACGTTTACTTTACTGCAAGCAGCTGAATTAAAGGGACTATTGTGTTCAAGCGAAAACCTGAAGTTCATTTAAAATGTCTTCGGTCAAACCAGTCATCATCATTGGCTCTGGAGTTGTCGGTCTTACACTCGGCCACGGTTTGAGGAAGGTTATTAAAGCCACTACTTGATGACTACATGCAGCGCTAATGAAATTCAAGTCTGGAATACCATTTGAGATCTACGAGCGTGATGGCAGCATTGACTCTCGCGATCAAGGATGGGCGATCACCCTCCACTGGGTTCTTCCGTACCTCAAGAAGCTGCTCGATCAGGAGACTTATGAAGCATTAAACAGCGTTCAAGTCGATCCGGAAGTCGGCCGAAACGACACAGGGAACTTTTTATTTATCAATCTAGCTACTGAAGAGGCAAAGTTTCGCATTCCGCCAAACGAGCGGAGGCGAGTCAATCGCGAGAAGATGCGGAGACTCCTCTTGCAGGGGATTGCAGACCGCGTCCACTGGTCGAAGACACTTATCGATATCATTAAGGACAGCTCTTCCAATGATGTGACGGCTGTCTTCGAAGATGGCTCCCAAGTAACGGGCTCGCTATTGATCGGTGCAGAAGGCACCAATTCTCGCACCCGCCAGTTCCTCTGCCCTGGAAACTATATCAACAGTCTCCTCCCCGTGCGATTCATTGGTGCAGCCGTTGACATGACGCCTGATCAAGTCAAACCTTTGCGCGACCTCGACCCTCTACTGTTCCAAGGCTGTCATCCAGACACTGGAAGCTACCTCTGGTGCTCCATGCTCGAAGTTCCAGAAATCAATGGGACTGCAGGGACTCCGAATGAGCGATATCGCGTCCAGTTGAATGTGTCGTGGCCGGTAAAGAGTCCCGATGACGAAGTCAAAGAGACGGACGCCGGAAGACTCGCACAGATGAAGCAGAAAGCAACCGGTTGGTCACCCAAGTTGAAGGCCGTGATCGATGCGATTCCGGAGAATTCGGTTGTCACTGAAATCAGGCTTGTTGATTGGCCCTGCCTGGAATGGGATAACCGCGGAGGGTCTGTGACGCTCGTCGGAGACGCTGCGCATGCGATGACAATGTATCGCGGTGAGGCCGCTAATCACGGCATCCTCGATGCGTACCGTCTCTGTGAGGCTCTGCAAGCAATTCACCACGGCGAGAGTCAGAAGTCCGCAATCGACGAATTTGAAGCAGAGATGCGAAGCCGAACAAGCGCAGCGGTGCTTCTGAGCAGACAGGCGTGTCTAGATGCGCACGATTGGCAGAATCTGAACGAAAACTCGGCTGTTCTCAAGAGACGGGCCCTCAAGTAAAGCTCTAAATGACACACCGCTTTGACAGAACCATGAGAATCAAACGATCACGACCGTCTTTCGCTCCATCTGCGCAATTGCATGATACGCCTCTTCGGAAGGTAGCGGATCATGAGAAACAGTGTGAGACTCGACTGGATGATCATTCGTGCCATTGGCTGCAAGCTGCGGAGGCTTTATTCTTCCCCACGATTTCGCGAGACGAGCGTAGGGATCGGCCTTTGATTTCCTGTACTCGCAGCAGTCATATCCGTACCAGGTGCAGTCCTCCCATGCAGCATATCCAATGCGACGGTACTCGCTTTCGGCTTTTCCAGTGGGTGTAAGTGCAAGCGTATGGACTACCTGGCTTCTCGTACCCCCCGGCATCGCAGGGAGATACGGGCGCTGTAATAGAGCGATAAATGTGACAGGTACTTCAGGATCGACAATCTCGTCTGGATACCAGCTCCCGGTAATAGCTTGTGCCTTGCTG